AAAATAAAAGATACCCTCCCCTCCAACGAAGACTCTCAATGCTATTGGAAATATTGAATGAAAATATCAGTTCCTATCAGTTACAAATATCTCTTCAATGCTTAACTCCTCATTCAAGTAACTCCTCTCTTCAATACTTAACTCCTCATTCAAGCAACTCCTCACTCAATGCATTAAAGAGATGGCTCATTTTCTATGAGTATAAATAGAAGAACTCTCAGTTGGAGTGGATAGAGAAAAAACACAACAAGAGAAAAAAAAATACGAGCTTTTCTTCTAAGCTTCTAGCATCAAATTTCTTCTTTCCGGTTTTGTTCATTTCCTTCATTTGCTAAAGTTCTTTGAAAGATAAACACAGCTAGTTCGTAGGCGGTTAACGTAGTGCAGCGTGAACCGACAACCGATTGTATCCTGGAATCGAACACCGATTAAAACCTCTTGCACTCGCTTAAGGGTCATTAAAAGCGTAGCTTAACCTACATCTTTCAATCACCATAAGCACCATAAGAATGAGCAGAAGGAGAACCTTCTCAGTGATTTACATAGATATACATGGTTTAGTTGTCCCTTTGAACCTAGATTCTGGGATTTCCATTCAGCTAGGTTGGGTTTCCACCATGATACCTTTCAACGTCATAGGCTGCAAGCCCATTCCCCTCGATACTTTTTCAATTAGCTCTCGAGTTAACCTTTTGGTTAGCGGATCCGCAATATTATCTTTTGACTTCACGTAGTTCAGAGTGATAATACCTTGTGAGAGTAGTTGTCAAATGGTATTATATCGTCTTTGAATATGTCGAGACTTACCATTACACGTATTGCTCTATGCCCTACCAATTGCTGATTGATTATCACAATAAGCACAAATTGCAGGTACAGTCTTTGACCATCTTAGAATATTCTCAACAAACTGGCGAAGCCACTCTGCTTCTTTTGTTGCTTTGTCCAAAGCGATGAACTCTGATTCCATTGTAGATCTTGTAATGCAAGTTTGTTTTGACGATTTTCAATAGACAGCTACACCACCAAGAGTGAAGACATATCCACTAGTAGATTTGAATCTTACATATCTGATATCCAATTTGCATCAACATACCCTTCGATTACTACAGGGTATCTAGAATAATGTAGTCCAACATCACAAGTGTACCTCAAATAATGTAACACCCTGAAAATGGCTCTCCAATGGATAACACCTGGGTTACTCGTGTAGCGACTTAATCTGCTAACTGAATATGCTATATCCGGTCTCGTACAAGTCATTAAATACATTAAACTCCCAATTATCCGAGAATATTCTAACTGTGACACACCATCACCAGTGTTCTTGGATAAGTGGAGATTCAAATCCACTGGGAGTCCTGGCCACAGTGGTATCTGACTTGTTGAACTTGTCTAGTATCTTATCAATGTAATGAGATTGAGATAACACAAGTCCATTCGATGTTCAAGTGATTTTTACTCCCAAAATGACATCTGCGATACCCATATATTTCATGTCAAATTTTGAGTTTAATATATTCTTAGTGACTTTGATAATCTTATCAGAGCTGCCGACAATGAGCATGTCATCGACGTACATACATAATATGACATATCCATCATTAGTGTCCTTGATATATACACACTTGTCGCACTCGTTGATTCTAAAACCACTAAAAAGTATAGCATTATCAAATTTCTCATGCCATTGCTTCGGTGCTTACTTTAAACCATAAATTGATTTAACCAGCTTACGGACTTTTCTTTCCTGACCTGGAGTCGAAAACCCCTTTGGGCTCTGGTTGCTAGTAATATTCGATAGATTTCCACAAGTGAAGATTCAAAGTTAAATACTACCTATCCTATACATGATTGATTCGTTTTACTCTCTCTTTCTCTCTTTAGTCTTTGTTATCCAAAATTTTCATTCATGTGGGGGATTGTTGAAAATATTGAATGAAAATATCAGTTCCTATCTGTTACAAATATCTCTTCAATGCTTAACTCCTCATTCAAGTAACTCCTCTCTTCAATGCTTAACTCCTCATTCAGGTAACTCCTCACTCAATGCATTAAAGAGATAGCTCCTTTTCTATGAGTATAAATAGAAGAGCTCTCAGTTGGAGTGGATAGAGAAAAAAATACGAGCTTTCCTTCTAAACTTCTAGCATCAAATTTCTTCTTTCCAGTTTTGTTCCTTTCCTTCATTTGCTAAAGTTCTTTGATAGATAAACACAGTTAGTTCGTAAGCGGTTAACGTAGTGCAGCATGAACCGACAACCGATTGTATTCTGAGAATCGAACACCGATCAAAACTTCTTGTACTCCGGTGAGGCGGCGAATTAGATTTAAGGAAATCGTGTAAACACGGGCCTTCGATTTGATTTGATTCTCCATTATTATCCCACAAATGTCACCACCTCCTA